CGGCGTGGGGGTGTTGGAAGTTTCATGCGTTTCCACCATCAGGAATTCAGGGCTTCCACACACACTCTCACACACACACACACACACTCCGCACTTTTCCTGGTGAGGCCAGCAGGGGAGAGGGGGGAGCCTCCCCGATGCATGTGGGGTGAGGCACAGCAGGCATGTGTCAGGTGGGCAGACTTTTGATCGACGGAGTGATGGATATATATACGCATACGCACTTTTATGACGGCAGATGCGCTGCGTCTATCTCGGGGCACGAAATGAGTCCGTCTCCTTGCGTCTCCCCGTCCACGTCTGCGAGCATCGATACGTATCTCCCGACAGGATAGAGATGCGCTAGGAAACTTCGCCGGCAGCAACAAAAATAAATGCGACAGGGAGAAGGAAACGAAAGCGGCTGGCACGTTATCGGTCCTCACTTATGATCTGGACAATGGCAGAAAGATAATAAGCAGAAATCACAGGAGCCTAACAAGCAACCTTGCGCCCCCTTACTTACTCGCCGATGCTCTGAAACAATCGGGGGGTGTTGGTACACCTAATTTATTGAGGGGAATCAGTCAATAAATCCGTACAGCTGGATAAAATGGAGACGTCCGTCTAGGGACGCGTTCCCCTAGCCCAAACTACAACAGCAGCAGCAACAGTAGATGTGTCTTGGCTTGTAATTTAAGACCAAATATGAACATGTATATATCCACCAGGCTGTCTGTCTGTCTTAATAAAGAGAGCGGAGAGGCAGAAAGTCATAAAGGTATTAGTGCCCAAGAATGCAATTGACACATTGATACAGAATAGAAGGGAATCAGCAGTGAATATGAGCGGAAAATATTGCCCACCTTACAGACTGACGGATATGACACCCCCCCCCCCATTGTATAATAAATCTATTTACTAGGTGGAAAACTTCCATACCTTCCCAGATAGATAGATAGATAGATAGATAGATATAAAAAGAGAGAGAGAGATCTGTCCTGTAGGAATATATTTTTGTGTATCTTGTGAGCGATGGAGAGAGATATAATGTGCGCATATTAGAGGGATGTATTGTGAGAGATAAATATATATGTTTTTGTATGTCAGCCTTTTCCTCCCTCCCTCCTTTCTGCAGGTCTCAAGTTCCCAAGCCTTACCCACAGCTACAATTTTTCGGGATTTATGTAGGGACCGTGCCACGGATTTGAGCGGGACTGAGGGAGGCTGCACTTTCTAAACATGCCTGCTGGGAAATAAGTCCCCTTTGAACCCAGAGAGGCGTAGCTCAGGATCGGGTGCGGGCCCACGGCTGCCTCTGGCAAATCTGGACAGCTCCGCTACATTCAGGAGGGCGAAGCTCGCGACTTGGAAGGAGAACGAAGAGGAGGGCAGAGAAGCCCCAGACACCACATCGTATCCTTGTATTTCCCCCTTAGTTGAAACGAATTAATTCTTCCCCCTCCTCTTCTGATAATAGCTTCTCCTTTTCCTCTGCATGGTAGGGGGTGCGGAGGGGCGCCGGTGTTTCACCCATTTATCACCCATCAAGGGGGAGACATCTGGGGCGATGACATTCACTTGTGCCCTAAACCTTCAGCCACCGATGGGGATACAAAGAGACAAAACAAACAAACAACCAACCCTTAAAGGCCATTATTATTATTATTATTATTATTATTATTATTATTTTCCAAGTTCCATTTCTGATCCTAAATCCCTGGGCTTGGTTGGAAGTCAGCTCCACTGAAATTTAGAGGATTCAAGCCTACTAAAGAACAAGCGACGGGGTAAGAGGTATCCTGGATTTTAGTCCTCAGTTATGAAACAACTGCTTAAAAAACAACATCCGGGCGGTTTCTAAAAGCACCTAGGACATGAGCAGGACTCCCACTCCTGGAGAAGGGGTAGTCACCGGCCCTCGAGGAAACCCGAGCCAGGAAGCTAGTGCCATCAACTCCTGAAGTTGGCCTGAGAATATTTGTGCAGCGTTAGGTTTGTTCTAATATTTTACATTGTAAACCGCCTTAGGTGCCTTGGCGGAAAGGCGGTATATAAATGCAACCGGCAAATAATAAATAATGTCCCGAGGGTGTGCTGTAGCAAGATGGCGGAGAAAGGAGCTGCCAGGTCAGGATTTTTTTTGGGGGGGGGAGCAGGTGTCCCCACTCATCAGGATGAACAAAAGAGATGGGGAGTCACACCCATTATCCATCGGAAACTGCCTTCACACCAAGTCAGATCTCTTGGAGTGGTCTCAGGACCGACTAGCAGAGGCTCTCTAGGGCTTCGGACACCAGAACTGAACCCGGAGCCCTTTGTGTGCAACATGTCTGTCGTGCTACTGAGCTTTTACCCCTTTAAAACAAGAAGGGGAGGAAAGACGACCATTCATTCCGGAGCTGTCCTGAGAGGAGCTGATGATGTAACACCACCTTTGAGGGAGCTCAGGAGCTGCGGGTCTTCTTGTCAGTGCCTGGAGGGGAGAGACCACCCGGGAACCCCTCTGGGCATCGCCTCG